ACAAGTGAGGTAGCTCCTCAAGCTTTCGTCTCGTTCCTGTTTTATGCTGAGCAAGTGGGTGGCAGGCTTCTGGTGGCAGCGTCCTCCAATGAAGTGTGACACGAAAGACCTGCTTATCTCAGTAAATGTGCCAATGGAGGCAGAGAAAAGTTTGGTGAACTATTGTCGATCAGATCCCTTCAATGTGGTTAGGAACGCTCTGCACATGATTTCGTCGGGAACGTTGTGCAGTTGCATCAAGATTTTAAAAGTTTCAAGGTAATCTAGTGGATCCTTCGTACTGTCAAAGGTCTCAATGGATGACATCTTGAATTTTTGGGGGAATGGATAGTTCGTCACGTCAGGTTTAAAAGGTGAGTCAGTTCGACTTACGAGGTAGTCTATTGTCTCAGGGCCCTGCGCCTTCATAGTGTTGAAGAGGTCACCCAGCTGATTTTGTACCTCCTTAATTTTTTCGTCTCATTGATTAAGAGGAGGTCCTCTGAAATTACCACGAAAATGGCTCACATGCTCCATGCTTTGGATTTCACCCTCATCTTCTTGGAGAGGAGGGTCTCTACCATAGGCAGCCGGAGCAGGGGATGGAGGAGGAGGTCCCTCATGGTGAGCCCCCCTGTGTGGGACACCCAAGGGAACTCCCAAAAGGGGGCGCCTGGATGGGGAGCACCAAGGTGAGGAGCTCCTTGATGACCAAGTAGTGGAGCTTCCCTGGCTTGAGGTCTAGTTTGCACTCCTCCTTGTTGCCTAAGCATCAATTGCTGAATTTGCTGGTTCTGGGCTATGAGCTGCTGCATTGTGACCAGCATCTGCTATGCATTTGGGACGGGATTGAGAGGTGGAGGAGCAACCTCCTCCTCTTGTGGGTTGTCTTTATGCTGACTCATGGTTCTTGTGGTGATTGACTTTGATTGAGCAAAGAAAATAGTTAGGTGAGAATTTTGTCGATTCCCATAGACGAACGCCAAACTGATGATGCACAAAATTGATTTACATACCACCTGTCAATTAAATAATATAAAATACAGTAAGTAGAGGGGCAAATAAGACAAGATTTATAGTGGTTTGGCCAATGAAACCTACGTCCACTTTCAATGGCTAGGTTCGTCAGAAATTTTATTGACTCCGGTGTGTTGGGAGAGCAAGAATTACAAGAGGGAGAGGAGATGAGCTTGACTTTTTATGAGATGCCCCCAAGTGTTGGGGCAGCTTACAATTTATAATCATCTACGTAGTAATTGAATAGTTAATCTGACGGTCATAATTGGAGCCGTTTAATAGTAATTAAATCTCTTGGCGACTTTTTCTCTCCTTGACCTCTCCTCTCCTCAACCGGCAAGGAGGTTATGGTACTCTCCAAAGGACTTGGTCATGGATAAGGGAGGTCGACTCTCTCCAAGCTGCGAGGGTGAGGCTCTTGATGCTCACTTGGTGGTGTAGCTCCCTGATAGGCTTGATTGGGTTTGGGCCTCGTTTGGACTAGACTTGTCAGATCTCTTGGGATTGGATCATTAGCTTAGACCGGGCTTATAATATGGGTTGGGCCCTTGGCCTAGCCCATTAGTTTTTAATGAAAAAATTTTTGAGCATGGAGTAGAGGCTTGGGCCAAAAAAAATTTAGATCTGTTTTGTAGCCCGGTGTAGGACATATAAAATCTGTTACTTTTTGGGTGATTAGGGTTTGATTGACTGTGTATGGCTACTCGGTATTCCTTCTTGATAATAGTGAAATTCCTACAGCTTCGTAGACGTAGGCAAATTGCCAAACCACGTAAATATTGTCTTATACATGTGATTATTTTTTTTTGGCGTGTGTTTTCTCTATTTTTGTTTCTGACAGGTTTGAAAATTTCGTTGCAAATTTCCTTACATGGCCTGGTAGCCCAACTAAGTCGGTTACTAGGTAGAATTGTTGGCCCATTTGGCGCAATGATGACGTAGGAATAGCCAAGTGGTTTGAGCATGGAAAGGATTCACTATAGAGAGCGTTGTATTTTGTGAATCATGAATTGCCAAATATTCATTGAAAGGTCCAATTACGGTATCAAAAAATTATTTTTTTGATATTGTACATCTTATTTTTTATTAATTAGAGCATGACAAATATAAAGTGTTATATATTAGGTTCTTAAATTAGGTCTAACTAGCATTGTGAAAAAACTTATGACCATGTAGATTAGAGTTTTTTGGACTTTGTCATGGAGGAGAAACGATAAGGAGGAAGATGGAGAATATGGATTTTTGGACTTCTACATGTTATGAATTTCTCTATTATGTTTAATGGACAGCCTGAGGGTAGATTTAAGGAAACTAGGGGATTAGACAGGATGATGTGCTATCTCCCTTTCTTTTTTACTTTAGTTGCTGATGGCTAAGTAAATTAGTGAGAAGGGTTGAGTGTTGTTACCTCGTGAGAAGTTTTATTGTGGGCAGAGATAGGGTTTCAGTTTTTGATTTGAGATTTGCTGATATATAATATTCTTTTGTGTGGGGGATGAGGAAATGATTTTAAACTAAAAGAATATTGTGGAGATATTTGAAATTGTTTCCATATTGAAAGTGAATATGGATAAAGTGTACTCATTGAAACTAATTCACATCAAGATAAAATTAATGGAGTTGCAGGTTTTTTGGTTCTTCAGGGTTACCTTTGAGTCAAAATTCATTGTCATTATCATTTTGAGACCGAGCTACGAAAAAGTGGAGAATAGATTAGATGAGTAAAAGAGAGTGTATATCTCTAACGGGAGAAGACTAACTCTGGTGCAGTCAGTCCTATAGGATGTCATCCCCTTGGGACTACTAGCAGCTTCGGTAGTTAAATCTCATGCAAGTTAGGTTGTGGTTGTATTAGTTGCAAGCAGAATGTAGGCTCTTTAGGTGTGTGTTGACCATGCACTCTTGTGTTGACTAGTATAGTCGCACACTCTTTTTATCTTCATTTCAAATGTAGAGAATATAGCTAAGAAACTGGAAAAAAATATGATGAATTTGTTTGAGGAAGGTAGTGGAGAGAGGAGAAAGTATCAGTTGATTAGTGGTGGTCTCTAGATCTAGGGATTAAGGTGGTTTGTCTATATGAAATTTGAAGGCAAGAAATATTGCATTATTGGGTAAGTGACTTTGGAGGTTTCCCTCAAAACCAAATTTCTTGTGGTATCTAGTCATTAAGAGCCTGAAATATGGTTTACAAGCCAACAGATGAGATGCTAAGAGGGTTGAAATAGGAAATTGTTGATGTTTGTGAAAATTTATTTATTATTGAGTGACAAGAGTTTTTCAAAATTCAAAGTTTGTGGTAGGTAACGGGAAGAGAGTTTGGTTTTGAAAAAATGCATGGGTGGGAGATTCATATCTTTCTTATTTGTTTCCATGTCTCTATTAATTGTCTTGTTACCATGGTTCATATATTGCTTCTATGATTCGGTCCTATGACCATCCATGCTCTTGGAATTTTGATGATTGAGACACCAGAGATTTAATTTAATGTCTCGATACTCTCAATAATTCTTTGTTAAGTTAAGAGTCTTATGATAAAAGAAGATGGATGCTTAATTCTTCCAGTGTCGTCTTCTCTTGTAAGTCATTCTTTTAATAGCACGTGGTAAGATTAATACTTGTGACTTACTTCATAAACGAAGACTAATAATTCTTTCCTCTCAATGGCGTGTGAAGTGTAAAGATAGTGTTGAAAGAATTAGCCATCTATTTCTACATTGCCTTGTTGCTTTGGCATTTTGGTATCAGTTGTGTAGAGAGGCGGGTTTAAGTTTGGTCATTTCTATATCCTCCATATTCCTATTTATCGAAGATTTGAAAGGGTTTAGAAAACATGATAAAAGGTACGACTCTTTGGAATTTTATTATCATTGTCATATTTTGGATTACTTGGCAAGAAAGAAATGTCAAAATATTTAATGATAGATGGGTAGATTATGAGATCGAATTTATTTCTTAGCGTTCTTACCCCATCCCTATTTCAGAGACACAATCCAAACAGGCTCTAATATTCGGCCCTTGTATTTTCGCTCTTATATACAATGTTAAACAAACAAATTTTTCAGGATAGATAATAAAAAATAGTTGGTAAAAAATTTGCTCTTGTAGATAAAATTGGATCATTTGATCTAACAATTCCAAGAATAAATTTTAATTCTTTATTCACTCTAAAAAATATGTATATATATATATATATATATATATATATATATATATATATATATATATATATATATATATATATATATATATATATATATATATATATATATATATAAACATCAGCCTGAAAAATGGTTTCAAAAATCTTTCCACCAAATTAAGTGAAAATTCTTTTAATAATTAGAGTGAATTAAAAAATAAATTTTGATAATTATTATTTTTATGGCTTTTTATCTGACAATCAAATTTTGTTTAAGAGTGAAAATATAAAGGTCAAATAGTGGTTTTCCACTTAAGGGCAAAATGGGTAGTTTCAATTATTTATTCGGCTGAATTTAATAAAATAAAAATCTGCTAGAAATAACAAGGGTGTTAGTTTAATTTACCTTTCATTTAACAACAAAATAGATCAACCGAATAAAAATAACAACAAAGATGGTGTTGAATAAACGACTTTGAGAGTGTATGAAATTGGCTTAAAACCTTAAAAAAAGTTTTTTTGGTTTGGTAAGAAAAGAAGTCCGGTCCATTTAGACCCAATTTTATTTGGCAGTTTTTTCACCATCTTTTGGACAAAAATAACTTTTATCATTACCAAAAAAAAAAAAAAAAGACTTATTCAAGGACTTTCAAGAAAAAACAACTTTTTCGAAAATAATAAAAACAGTTCAAAAAACTTTTTTAATTCTAAATTTTTTATTTTATCTTTCAAATCTCTATTTCGCACTAAAAAAATCAAATTCAAATAAATCTATTATTTTAATCTAAAACGACTCTCTCTCTCTCTCTCTCTCTCTAAATGTTTAACAGCTGCGAGCTGGACGTAAAATAGACCAAGGTTTTCGAAAGTTAGTCCTTAAATACAGAGTAACGGTCACTGTGGTGATTTTCCCGCAAAAATCACTGGCTTAATTATTATGAAATGTTCAAGTTCTTCTCTACCCACAATGGAAATCTCCTCCAAATCCTCAAATCCCAATTCAAAAACCAAAAATTCCATATGCACATAGCACATCTTCATAGCCCCAACAAAACCCTAATCACAAACGCCGCAATTCAATTTATCTTGGACGAGTTCAAAGAGCCCGAATCATCAATAGTTTCCGAACCAATAACCCAATTTGCACCCAAAAACAATGTACAAGTGAAACCAAACGGCATAAAAGAGACTGCTGCCGTTCAGATTTCGCATCCGTGGCCTGAATGGGTTGGGTTGATGGAAATGTTGATGAAAAAAGCGTATTTTGAAGGAATTGGAAATCCATTTTCGAATGGTGAAGTGGATGCGACGGGTTCAAATTTTATTCGTACTGCTTGTTTGAATTTCGCTCGTGAACGGTTTGATCTCATCAGGTAACAAGTGACTGAATTGAGTGGAATTTGCTTGGTTATGTGTTTTTATTGTGTTGGATTTGATTTTTTTTCCTTTGTTTTGTTGGTTGTATTGAGTTAAGCTATTAGTTTGAATCTTAGATTGAGTTTTGAATTCTTTGATAGTTGGATATTTTGTGTCTGCATAGAACTTGTTTGATATTGGACCTATGTGAGAGATTTGACTTTCTTTTGGGCAAATTTGGCTAGCATATGGCATGCGGTTAACAGCTAAATGTCAAATTTTACGAAAAGCGCAATGGAGTAGTTTGCCTGACCAAGGACTGTTTCAGGTGACTAAGATTGAGTGTGGTTTTCATTTCATGACTTCCATATTTTTTGTCTGGTGTGTGTTACAGTGGGCAGAACAGATTTTGTGCCTGTTTTGTTTGTTTGTGAACGCAATTGTGTCTAGGTTGTGGGTGGGAAGTGTTACTTTGCAACATTGTACTACCAGGTAAAACATAGGGTTAACCCTGGTAGGTGTTTTTAAGGAGGCAAAGGGGAGCAACCAAGTATGATGTGTTGATAGAGGAGTGCTCATTCCCATACCATTCCAATTGCATAGAACTTAATTTATGTATCCACTAAACTAGTCTTATCCTCATTTTCTAAGGAATAGGATCAATTGGATGGACATATTTTTTGGGTTTACTTTGGTTTTGATTGTTCAAGGATAGATGATGGAAGTCAAACCCTGATGCCTACTCCTTAACAGCTCTACCCTTGCCACTGTACCAAGCCACCAGTCCTACTTGGAGAATCTTTACCATCTTTGCATTGAATTAGTTGGAGCCAATCACCGACTGCCTAGGATACATTAAGGGATATTTTTACACCTCACCTGTCCTTGGTGGGATCTCATCAATAACACAAACTTGGATCTTTTTGAAACTAACGGCTTTTTTATTTTATCAATTAAGATCACATTTACTAACACTTTGGAACTCTTTCATAGTGTTTACTCCTGAGGGCTTCTAGCCCTTATTCTTGTCAGCACTAGACCCTTAGTGTTTGCATGAATTAGATTTTCTTGAAGTTTGGTTCTTATTTTTCATATTATACCTTTTGCTACCAGGTACTTGTCTAGAAAAGATATTCAGGTGGTTGCAGAATCAGGATGTCCAAGCATAGATAGGAAAGTTGTCAACTCGGGGAAGCGTTTAAGGGCACATGTGGGCATTAATGAAGGAAATGTATGTGCTAAATAGATTTTTTATTGGGCCTATCAAACTAATAGTTATACATAAAAGTCATAATGGTACACATTCTTATATTTAACAACAGAAGAATTTTCGTAGGTTTGCAGCTCCTGCATTTTGAGGGGAAACTGTGAGAGGGCATATGTCAAGGCCTGTAAGGATGAAGGCGGGCGCACTGTGGATGTCATGCGCTTCTTATTAACATATGGGCTTGATCCCATTACTGGTTCAGTGGAGAACAAGCCTTGCTTAAACAAAAGGGTTAAGGAATCAGTTAGGAGGTTGCTGAAAGAAATGGTGGAGCTTAACACGGAAAAACTTGATGATTTCCCCAAAGCCATTCCCTCCAAATCGAATTCATCTATGCAAGAAATTTCAAGTCACAAAGGACAAAGTCAAATTAATGTTCCAATGAAGCAAGGCGATTGGATGTGCCCCAAGTAATTCGATGTCATATTCCTATTATGTTATAAATATTTTTCATCATTCTCATACGTATTCTCAGTTATTTTTTCTGCTTTTATTGTGGTAGATGCAATTTCCTTAATTTTGCTAGAAATATCAAGTGCTTGCGCTGCAATGGGTTATTCCAAGAAAGACTAAGAAAACTAAGTGAAGATCAGGATCATCTTCCATTAAAGAAGGGAGACTGGATATGTGACAAGTACTGTATCATTTGAATTGAATAATCTTGATCCTATTGTTATATATTCCTAATTGAGGCTTTTAACTACAGATGCAATTTTTTGAATTTTGCAAAGAATTCAAGATGTTTGCAGTGTCAAGAGAAGCCACCAAAGTGGCAACTAAATCCCGGGGAGTGGGAATGTGACTCGTGAGTTCATAGTACAAGTGTATTTTAACTTCTAAGAAACTTATTAGAAATCATTTCAAGTGGACTTATACCTTTTCGTTTTGTGTTGTGATCACAAGAGATGTGTTATTTTGCAGGTGTAACTACATCAATTTCAGAAAAAACATGGTATGCTTGAAATGTGATCATAGACGGCCAAAAGCATTAAAACCTACCGAAAATTCTGCTCAACTACTACATGATGCTGGTGATAATCATCATCCTCAGCCTTACTTTGTACGAGAGAGGCGTAGTGAAGAGGAAGGGGGTGGCAGGTGGAAATTCGTGGAGGATGAAGCTGAAGACACAGGTTGCTCTAAATCATTGAATGAGGTACCAGGGTTTGTTGATTTTCCCATTGCAGGAGGTAAGAGCAAATTGTCTCAAAATGTGCAAAAGCAAGAAAGATGGAAGACGGAAATGGCAGAAAGGAGTAGAAGCAGTGGTAAGGCAAGGGAAAATGTTGATGAATTTAAGTCTGCCTTCATGCAGAAAAGTTGCAAGTTTCTGGAGTCCACTGATGATGAAGAAATGGCTGAGTGGTTTGGGCATGCAAAGGACCCATTATAGAAAGCATTGTATTTGAACCATAAATTTCCAAACAATGATTCAACAGTAATAGAGCAGCAACCTAGTAGTTGAATTGGTTTGCCCTCACCCTATGTAAGGGGATTCTATAGCCCCCAGTTTCCATGAAAAAAAAGGATGCTCATTGAATGAATCTCTACTTATATGACCCCGGATATTCAATTAGATTATTACATTTGTTATCTGGTCTGCTATAAAAAGGGGCTTCATTTATGTTGGTCTTTTACAGGTGATTTGTTTAGGATGCTACCGTTGCTTCTGACCTCTCTCTCTCTCTCTCTCTCAAGTAGCCCCAATAGCATGAAAGAGACAAAAAGAATGACACAAGTCGGGAAATAGTCTAAAATAAGGGCAGGATAGAGTCCCCAGAGAGAGCCATGGGATCAATTCTTGCCTCTGAAAATGCTTGTCCCTATTTGCCTAGCTACTAGGAGGAAGGCAACTAAGCAAGTGAAGACAGAAACTACAGCGGGTAAGTGCATCAATTCTTGTTATCGATTGCCGCTTTCTTCTCTGGCTTCTTTCAACAATTAACTCCGATAAGTGCATCGGTTCTTGTTAGCGATTGCCACTTTCTTCTCTGGGTTTCTTTCAACAGTTAACTCCTTCATGCCCCTAGCAGACATATAATACATTCTTACCTATTCTAGTTTATTACCTTCAAGATCATTTCCTTGTTAGGAGTGACCAATTAGATTAGACTTTCTTGATTCAGTAACCGCAATTATGACAGGCCAAGAATAGTTCAATATAGCTATTTAGTCATCCTGTAAGTGAGGATGCGCCAGGAGTAGCTTTGTCATACTCACATGGGCAATAAGTTGATAATGTTGCCACTGATACAATATCCTTTTTATGCCTTCCCATGCTTATAAAAAGGCATTCTAATTTTCTAGTAACAATCACTGCAAAGGGTTATTGATGAATGAAGAGGGTGACTTTTACTGTCCTTTTTCACTCCTTTTGTGCTCAATTTAGTTGAAATAGTCAGGAATAGAACTGAAAATTTGAAAATTGTACAATTAAGAGCCAAATGAGATCAAAACAAACGCAAAAATAGTTGCAAATATTAGGAAAAATGAGACCTCATTTTATTCTTCTTGTTTTATCCTTGCTCATTCATCTCAATAGTCATAATGATGCAGGATAGTGTGACTAAAGAAAAAAGATCAAACAATAGAAACTATCTATTGATTATCACAATAATATCAAATGACAGTCTTTAAGAACTTTACTAATTCCTAAGAATACTAAGCCAAAAAGAGAACTTGTCTCTAAGTTTTAGTCAAAATAAACCAAAACTGTTGAATTAGTTTTCAACACAATATAAATAAGAAATACTAATAGTCTTAAATTACTAAAAAACTAAACAAATACACAATATTATGAAAATACTCCAAACAACAGGATAAAAATAGAAAAATGCCTAAAAAGTGTCATAAACATCGTTTTTTTTGGCTAAAACTCGCCTAGGTTGAAGACAAAAGACTTCAATCTTGCTTAGATCGTCAAGTTCTTTCTGGAATGGAGTCTTATGAAATTTTTTTACACTATCGCCCAAAATCAACCTACTTTTGATAGTCTTGATCTGTCCAGTAATCTTCTGCTATACATTCTACATCACATTAGCATGGAGATAGAACTAGAAACTTCATTAATTCACTTTATATATAATCAAGGCAAGTAGCACAAACTTTAATGTGTCTGATTCCAAGAGAGTTTTGTTCTAACCATGAAGTCCTTTAAAGAACTTACAAGGGCATTATTTATCAAATGAGCCATTGTTTGATAATCTTTTGAGCATGCCAAAATATGTATCTTCTATACAAATCATACGGATGATTCATTAGTTTCTTGTTTATCAAGTTCTGACTCTTCCTTGCTTGAGACTCTGTAGTAATTCGTCAAGGTCTTGCCATCCAACTCCTTCGTGAAGAATCTTGTCATGAAGTCTGAGAACATGAATTGCTGGTACATAGCTGGTTTCTCAGGCGACACTAGTCCCGGCAATGGCCCATACAACTTGTCTCTCATGCTAGGGTTGAAGAAAACTGCAATTGAGACACGCGGTTCATGAGAGGGGTTGGCCAATACACGATGCTCCACGCTTTTGTACTCATCATTGGCCATGATCTGCAAAAGAGAGTTGAGCAATTCCGTGAATTGCATTCTTTGGCAAAATGATGAAAATTCAAACAGACAAGTTGTTTGAAAATAAATAAATAATAAAATAAAATCAATTGATTGGCTAAACTGAGGAACTAAAAATTTAGAAAACATGAAATATGTAAAAAATTTCAGAAACCCAAAATTACCCATAAATACAAATATTGAACAAGCCGGAATTTAGAATATGAAAATTTAATACTTCAAAGCACGTTGAATGTTTGAAAGATGCGGTGTACTTGTTGAATTCGTGCCCAAAACAAATTGGAATAAAAAACAATGAAATGTATGAAGTGGGCAGGAATGGAGTCAGAATTTTATTTTAGTGGAGATAACCTTAAATTCTTAAATTGAAACTATAAATATGAGATTGTTTCATCAAAATGTATATTCTTAATAAAAAAAACTATGTATAGTTCTATCAAAAAAATTGTTATTTAGATGCTCAACTCATATATAAGAGCAATGTATAAAAAAATACAACAAAAAAGATTTCATATCAAAAGAACATCTATTTCTTGACTAAGAGAAAGTTGCTCTAGTGTTAATTTTCTTACAAGAAACCTATCCATAACTGATAAAAAAATAAATTTGTCTAATTAGACTCAAATTTAATAGTAGTCATTAAATTCGTAACTAATGACATAATGTACTATACATAATCAAAATATAATCCATAAATCCACAATAATATAATTCATAAATTCACAATACTTGTATGTATTTGTTGCTGAAATTTTAGATCTAGTTCCCTTGTATCTAGGCCTTGTTGTACTAAATTTTTAATTGAAATAAACAAGTTTTTGGAATGGTATTTGTGTGATTCACTGCAGAAAATTTTTTGTCTTGTTCTTGCTTTACTTTTTGTTGAAATTAAAATGATACACTACAGCAAAAATCAGCCACTATTTTATTTTTCTTTGAGTCTTGCTCTTGTGGTTTTGGTGAGATGATTGATACTATATACTTAAATACCAATAACCAAGTAAGTTAATTTGTTGATGATTTTACCAAGCCGATTTGTTGATGAATTTATATAAGTTTCTAAGAAATCAAAGAAATATAAGAAAGGAGGACTGATGGAGAAAGGCAACGTCGTAGAGACCGAAATTTGAATGAAAAAGACGTTCAGCCAATAAAGGGCATGAAATGAGTGAATTCCCAAAGTTGTGTTTAATGGTTTGAAAATTATACTAACCTCACCTATGCTTAATGAAAATTTTAGTGGGGCAAGATTTAGAAACTTTAGAAGTTTTTAAAAATTCATCTAGATCCCAAATTTTTTAAAAATCCCAGCCAATGCTGAGCATATAAGTCCCCAGGTGAAGCTAAATGGAAAAACAAACATGAAGAAACTACGTATTTTGCTAATGGTGAGTGAGCACTCAGTTCCACTTGTAGGTGGTTGTAGGCCGTAACCTCGTCTCTCCCTTTGATGCAGAAAATTGAAAGTTGATAAATTAATAGGAGTCTTTTGATAATATTTTTGTTTTTGTGTTTTCAAAAAAATAAAAAAAATAGAGACAATTTTTATTTTATTTTGTGATAAACACTAAAAATATAAAAAGAATCATTTTTGTTTATGGGATTATGAGAATAAAAACTAAATTCATCCATAATATATTCGCAAATTCACCTAGAATATACACTCACAAAGACTCTGCTGGTTCAACACGCACACACACAGAATGCACACAGACGGGGACAGAAGAGAATTTGTTTAGGGGAAATCGAGTCACGATCAACACCCGCACACAGAAATCACTCCCAAACCCAGAAGTCAACACCCACAAATGCCCAAACCCGAAATCAACACCCACACACGCCCAAACCCAGAAATCCAGAAATCACGATCAACACCGACTAGCGGCCAAACCTATAAATCAACACCCCACACACAAGTCTAATTCAGACGGAGGTGCGGAAGAGGCAGCGATGAAATCAAGTCACGATCGAACAAAGCTGTGAGCGACGATTGCTGGAGAAGAGACGATCGCCGATGGAGGTCTCCGGTTTTCGTTGAATGGACAGAGACAATGGATTGAGGAGAGACAGAGAGGCGATGGAGAGCGAGAGCGAGGTACGAATCAAAAACATCAACCAAACGCACTCTACTTATTTTGTTTTTCACCATTTTGTTAGGCAAATAATTATTTACCTTTTGACAGAAAACCAAGTTGTTGATCTGCTTTGAACTTGAAGACTTGTGGGTAAGAACAAGTCTGGCATACAAATCGAAGAAACTAGCCCAAGAGTATTGATCACATAAAGTGAATGCTTAAAACACACATCTGTTAGACAGGGAGTCAGGACTTACCTGAAGAATATCACCAATGTTGATAATTAGACCACCGGGGACAGGGTCCACGTCAATCCAATCCTCACCAAACTTCACCTGCAACCCCGCAACCTCATTCTGCAACACTACTGTCAACACCCCGGGATCTGTATGAGATGTCAGGCCAACCGTCAAGTCCGCCTGTGGACAGTATGGATAGTAATGAGCCGCCATAGTCCTGGCATCCAAACACGACATATCTTTTAACCTATCTCTTTCCATCCCCAACCCCTCACTCAACAATCCCATCAACTCCTCTCCCAATTTTATCACCTCTCTATCCCACTCCTCTACCGCTTCCCTGCACAACTCCGGAACATAGTCCCACTCCGGAGGTGTGGGGCCTAGCCGGACCTGTAGTGTGTCCCTCCAGCTGGCAGCTTTGGACTTGTACAGATCAAAGTTGGTAGAGTAGGCTACACCATGGGATGCCTCCCGAGTATAGTAATGGATTCTAGTGGTCTCTGGTAATTCGAAGAAGGCCTTGATAGATGAAAGCATTTGATCCAGAACCTTTTTGGGTATCCCGTGGTTGATTATCTGGAAGAACCCATGAGTCGAAGAGGAGTGACGGATTTGATCAACCACCGCTGATCGGTGGCCGGAGAGGTCGATGATGGGGATCGAGAGTTTGGATTTTTGGG